GCGTTGTCACCCGTGAGGACTAAGATGGAATGCCTCTTTTGCAGTAAAAAGCGGTCTCCAGTTCTGTACACTCACCATACGAAACACAGCAGGTTAAGTTGCTATTTTACGCTGGTATTCTGTAAGAGCGTGGTCCTTCCCCGGTCGAGGCGACCCATTCGTGCTACAACTATACTACTAATATAGCTGCAGCATGACTCTACCACGTGCATCACTGACGTCCTTAACTAAGTGATTACATGACTACGAAGAGAATTATAATGAATCTTATTTTAAATGCATTTGCTTTTATAGGATGGTTAAAATAAGTCTGGTGATTGAAAGCGCGGTACCTTGGTTTGACCAGCAATAACAATCATACAATGGAGTCCTCGTCTTTTGTAACGTTATACTTCATAACATGATTTTTTATAGGAGAGGGGGCAAACGAGCATGCGGCTCACCTGATGGTAAGTGACTACCGCCGCCCATGAACAACTGCAACACCAGGGGAATTACAGATGCGTTGCTGGCCTTTTAAAAAGAATTAGGCTCTTTTCTTGAAGTTCCCCAAGTCGTATCGGTCCGGAAAAATCGCTGGTGGTAATCGATTTAACAAAGAAGTTGTGCGAGGAAGAAAACTTCTTCTAAATCGCACAGTGGTGGACCGCCAATCATCCGGATGGTATGGCTGGTATCGTGAGATTTGTCACGATGTGCGACGGTGAAATGTTTTCAGTATTCCAAAATCGAAAGCTTTATCGGCATAATTCGTGATCAACATGTTATTGTAAAATTATTGCTACTTGCAATTATCATGTTTACGACAAATCTGATATCAAAAGCTTAGACAGGACAATTTGCATCAATAGGTTTTAAAACAATTTGCAGACTGCATAACTACCTTGTTATTTCTATGTTTTAGTTTATAAGCTTATGATATGTACTAAAGTCTAAAGTGTTGGGGCAATTCTGTAATAATAGTTATACAATAATCTAAACAAACAAATAAAATTGAAGTGTCTGTTTGTAATGTCAAAATAACAGCTTTTCACTAAATGCATACAAAAGTGCTTATAATTATAAAAAACAATTCTTTAAATTCTGTCTGCCTGTCTCTCTGTCTGTTTTTTTTATAGAATAAGGGTGACAAACAAGCACACAGTCCACCTGATGGTAAGTGGTTGCTGTGGCCCATAGACATCTTTTCCAGTAAAATTGGTCTCCGGTTCTCTACGCTCACCATACGAAACACAGTAGCATTAAGCTGCTATTTTACGCTGGTATTCTGTGAGAACGTGGTCCTTCCCCGGTCAAGCCGAACCATTCGTGCGACAACTATACTATTAAAATAGCTGCAGCATGGCTCTACCACGCGCAAAAACTGTTTCGGCTAATCTCCGAAATGGTTGTATCGATTTTGACGTTCACTGGCAGACAGCTATTTTAATTTTAGATAAAGAATTAGGGTTCCGCGCAAAAAAATTAAAACCCATGAAATCGTAATAAATTTCACGCGGGCGAAGTCGCGGTGAACAGCTAGTAAATAAATAAATATTTCGTCCGCTATAACATGCACCCTCCACCACTGGCATTAGTCCAAATGACGAATGGCGCGTTCTGTTTATAGTCAGTCCGTCTTTTTTAGGACTTGCTTGATTATATCTTTTATGACCATCTCTTGGATTAGGTTCTTTATGTAATTCCTCAGTGGAATACTAAATATTATCGGACGTAAATATGTATTAGTTTGTTTCGTTTTAAGCCAGCATTGAAGTGTTATATATTTCATCGCCCGTATGACGTCATAACGCAAAGTACATTCTCTATGTAGACTTTATAGTAAATGACAACCACTATAGAAAATTGAAATAAAATGAAACCTAATCACCTAACTTGTTAATGAAGCAACCATCTTGCATTTGTGTAGCACAAAATGAAAAGATAGGTTCTGATTTCGTGTAGAGCATCGTGCCGTTTGTCGCCACTGCATACGAGTCGCTTTCATAGACGAGGCGCCAATAGATGTATCACATCAAAAATATTTCGATGTTAATGTGAAGTTTGCCAACACCCATTGGGGCAGTGCTGCGGACATTTCATTGTCCCACAAAACCCTTTAAAAATAAGAGGTCTCTTTGAGGAGCAATGGACTTATAAAGACTCCAGCTTTACTAAAGTTAGAAAGAAAAAAAAGTAATATATATTCGTAGTCGCAACAAACACACGACAAAAAGAAGACAAAGGAAAAAATACGATATTAGGCTGTAGCAACATTGCCGTAGCACTGTTATTTAAAATTCACGAGCAGCCGTAAGGTATACCTATTTATATTTTAACCCTGGCTTAAAAAACGGACTAATCAAATAAAAAAAAAAACTAAAAAAATGAAGTAAATAAAATACAAAATTGATTTTTATAACACCACATTTTGAAGGCGTTATTTTTACAGTTCATAGTTTTAAAAACAAAATAAATTTAGTCTGAAATGGCGAACCTACTAGAAAATAGTATAGAGAATAGTTGTTTACTGACGCTTCAAAGAACATAATATAGCTGACGTGAAGCACCGACGCTTTGGGAAGTCTGCAGTCTGTGAACATGTTCAAGATCGTCCCCGCCATTACATCAGATTTGATAGACCACAAACCCTCGCAAAAGAACACCGATCCCTACCAAGGGTAATGATAGGCGAGGCTATTGAAATTCAAAAAAAAAAACATCCTAATTTCAATAGAGAAGATGGAAGGGTGCTGCCATCTGCTTGCGATTCTATAATTAACAAAATTAAATCCAAACCCAAGCATACCACTGCAAGACTTCAAGATACTTTAAGCTCATTCTGCGTAGATAGAACCAAAACTCAATATTCAAAAATGGAAGTTAGTTGGGCTAACTGTGACATCGGGACGTAAAACACCTCAGTTCCCCTCGTGACCATGGGTAGCTTTAAACACCCGAAATGTTGGAAATTAAAATAAGTAAATTAATCGCGATAAAATCCGTAAAAATAGTTTTATTCAATGTGAAGTGTTCGCGTAAATATAAGAAATCACAATATGTTTTTTCTTAAAATAATTTTAAATTTCAATAATTTCAAAAATATTGATTTCTAACACGAATTCGATCCCCGAAAAATAGTGAAAATAGTAGATGGAACAATTGTTACACTTTTATATAATAGATCACCTATTTTTAAGAGGTGATAACTTTATTAATTTAAGTATGAAGTGGGTCTATTCCTAAGTGAATTTGAACTCAGATCCTAATTAATAGGAGGTGAATATTACAAGGCTCTCTGGAGAAATGGTCGGCGCCACCGGTGAAAGCTTTTACATAATGCTTGAATAACCGCTAGAAATTAATTTTGTTTTTGTCTTGTGTTATTATCTGCTTGGTATTGTTAATATAATAATAAACGAATTATTTAAAATAAGTCAATTTCATAAACTTTTTTTTATAGAATAATGGTGACAAACGAGCATACATTCCACCTGATGGTACTCATAGACATCTACATTTATCCTCAATTAAGATGCAAGATAAAAATGCAGATGCGTTTGTCACCTCTGCGCGTCGATACAGCAGCGATTAGTTTTTGAGTTATAAGAAAGTGACCATATTAACCGGATGATCATATTACCATCACGCCCTATATTAATAAACAAACATATTATTATTTAATTATTCTAAATTGAAAGAAAGTGCTATTTAACAAGTTTTGTTAGTTTTTTTAAAGTCTGCTTTTATTTTTGTAAAATTTAAGTTTTATAAAAATAAAAGCTTGAAGTAAGAAATATCACCAACTCAATGTCGCCTAAACAGATAAATTAAAAATTTCATCCCCTATGTTTACCACACATAGGAGTGAAATTTTATGTGGGACCACTCCTGAATTATATCCTATTTATTAAAAAATAATCATCCAAATTGACAAAGATATCGCATAACATACAGCCACTGTCCTCAGGGTTGACAACACATCTGCATTTTGATTCTTAATCGTGGATAATGTCATGAGTCACAACATCCACTTACCATCAGGTGGTCTGTGTGCTTGTTTGTCACCTTTATTCTATAAAATACAAAAAATAAATAAATATTTATATCAGTTTCTTTTTGTTTTATTTATATCTGTATTAAAATAGAAAAATTAAATGTTTTATTTGTTCAAGTTACGTGGTAGAGCCATGCTGCAGCTATATTACTGGTTTAGTTGTAGCGCGAATGTGTCGGCTCTACCGGAGAAGGACCACGCTCTCACAGATACCAGCGTAACATAGCAGCTTAACACTGCTGTGTTTCGTATGGTGGCATATAGACACAGTGGGTGTTTACAACCACCATACGAAACACAGCAGTGTTCTTTAGAACCGGAGAATGCTTTTACTGGAAATGAGGCATTCCATCTTAGTCCTCACGGATGACAACGCATCTGCATTTTGATTTTCAATCGAGGATACATGTAGATGTCTATGGGCCGCAGCAACCACTTACCATCAGGTGGACTGTGTGCTCATTTGTCACCCTTATCCTATAAAAAAAGTTACCAATAACGCTCATACCTGGCTTGTGGCTCTATATTTAATGTTGCAGAGCCATGAGCCACACACGTCACATACGCAAGGGAAGATTGCTTTGTTCCCCTGAGTGTATAAACTGAATACGTAAGAGCGATACTTATCCAGACAGATTCCTATGCAGGAAATGATAATAAAATTTACTCGTAACATCTGGTTAACATGTTAGGTGATCTTGGTGAAAGTAAAATTGAGCTTCATCATTATCATGATCATTACAGCCTTTCATAAGTCCACTGCTGAACATAGGCCTCCCCCATGGAATGCCACAAAGCGCGGTCCTGAGCCACCTGCATCCATCGACTTCCTGCACGTCTTACCAGGTCGTCACTCCATCTCGTGGGGGGTCGCTCTACACTTCGCCTACCGGTACGAGGCGGTAAAAATTGAGTTTATTAAACTAAAATTTAAATAAATATCTAAAGAGAAGATGATACTCACGATATTTCTCCAAAGGGTGCGAAGGCGTCTCGCAAACTCTGCGTTTCAATCTCTGGACTCAGATCCCCGACGAAGATGTGATAATGTTCTGCAACAAAGGAAAAGCAGTTAGTAAGATATTAATGTAATAAAAATAATGTCCTCCAGAACGAATTTCAGTCACGGTGGCCAGCCTCAACGGAGACTAGCCATCTCCGCAGGACAGGACTATAGTTCCAAGTGTATGCGCAAGCACAGGTGCACTTTCTATCCCCTCACTTTCGTAGTGCACTGGGACGGTAAACCGACACGACCGGAGAGAGATCAGACGCAGGACCAATGGCTTTACTTCTCAAGACACGGGGGTGAGACACCGCCAACTTCCTGACTCCGGACAGCTACTGAGAATTTCTTGACAGAAAACTCAAAATAACATGTGTGCAGTTATACACGCGGTAGAAGAAGTAGTAAATATTAAAAAAAAAACATTTCATAGCAAATGTTGTACTCAAATGTACTCGCGATGTTTTTTAATTTATATCTATATCACTCTTACTTACCTGAGGCTTTAATGTGCACTATTGTGGTACCGATCCTTAAAAATAAAACTGGTGACATTTCTGATAAAAATAATTATCAGCCTATCTCACTTGTTACAATAACAGCTAAATTGCTTGACAGTCTGTTTAATAGCAATCTCGAAAAATATGTCAAGCTAAATGATGCCCTCATTTCGGGTTTAGAGCTGGATTTTTTTTATAGGATAAGGGTGACAAACGAGCACATAGTCCACCTGATGGTAAGTGGTTGCTGCGGCCCATAGACATCTACATCTATCCTCTGTTACAAATCAAAATGTAGATGCGTTGTCATCCGTGAGGACTAAGATGGAATGCCTCATTTCCAGTAAAAAAGGCCTTCGGCCACCTGCACTCACCAAGCGAAACGCAGAGGTAAACCTCTACTTCACGTTGGTTTTCTGTGAGGTCGTGGTACTACCCCGATTCGAGCCGGTCCAGCCGTGCGACAGCAAAAGCTGCCGCGTGGCTCTACCACTGTTAAAATGATTATCCATCGAGAGTGCTATTCCGAGCTAGAAATATACTGTAAAATATCATACGAAGAGAAGGACGCCAGCACACGCTTGCTTTCTCGATCTTTCAAAAGCCTTTGAACGCTTAATAATTTATGTCCGCTTATGGGAGAAGTTGAAGTGTGCGGGTGTGCTGATGGAGTGCATCTCCCTCCTCAAATTCTGGTATTCAAACTAGCAAAATCAAGTAAGATAGGCCGGTACACTATCGAATGAATACAGATGACAATGTAGCGTAAGACAGGGGGAGGGGGAGGGGGGTTAAGCTCGCCCCTATTGTTTAATTTGTATATCAATAAAATTATTGAGCTTATTGAGTTACTCAGTAGTACTCATCATCATGTCATATTGACGATATCTCCTTCAATAATATAAGCTATACTAACGACATGGTGCTACGGAGTCCTTCAATCAATGCACTGAGCACTTTATTGTCAATATGTGAGACATATGCGGAGGCACATGGGCTAAAATATAACGCTAGCAAAAGCAAACTTCTTATGTTCAAAGCAGGCAAACATCAGCTCTCACATGTGCCTATAGTGGTCCTTGGACACATTGTGACAGCAGACCTCCGGGATGACGAAGACATAGAGAGGTAGCGCAGGGCGTTGACAGTGAGAGCCAGTATGCTTGCTTGCAGGTTCACTAGATGTACAGACACAGTTAAAAAACGCTTTTCAAACCACGCTTTACATGTTACTAGGTTGTCGGGTTGGCGACAGAAGTTGTTTCAACCGACTTTAAAAAAGAAGGAGGTTCTCAATTCGACTGTATATATATTTTTTGTGTGTGTTACCTAATAACTTTTTTTTTCTAGCCAACCGATTTTGATACTTCTTTTTTTATTTGAAAGTTTGTGCTTCTCATGTGATCCAAGATCTGACCAGTAGTTTTGATCTATCCTTAATAATACGTATTTAATTGGCTTCGACTACATTGATGATGTTCTCATTTTATTAAGTGGCGAAGCTTGCGAAGTCACTTATTGATTTCACGATGTCTGTCCGTCTGTCCGTTTGTCCCACGATTATCTCGAGAACGGTTTCGAATTTTCTAATTCTGTTTTCAGCAATCGATTAGCGATCACCCAGGCATCTGAACCTCCTATTTTGAAACTGATTGCTCAACGGCAACCGTTAGAAACCGCTACAAAGCTGATTGCTTCGCCACTTTGCTATGCTGTTAGCTTGCTAGGTTTATTAAGTGGCGAATCTTGCGAAGTCACTTATTGATTTCACGATGTCTGTCCGTCTGTCCGTCTGTCCGTCTGTCCCACGATTATCTCGAGAACGGTTTCGAATTTTCAAATTCTGTTTTCAGCAATCGATTACTGATCACTCAGGCATCTGAACCTCCTATTTTGAAACTGATTGCTCAACGGCAACCGTTAGAAACCGCTACAAAGCTGATTGCTTCGCCACTTTGCTATGCTGTTAGCTTGCTAGGTTTATTATTTATATTTAAGTCGGTTGTACAAAATAATGCTTACCAAAGCGTTTTGTCAATCAATTTACTTTGCTCTGTGGGTGATATATACGCGTCGAGTTTACAATACTCTGCATGTGCAGTATAATAACGCTGCTTTCAGGATGTTGTTGCGGCCGCCATGGCATTGCAGTGCGTCAAGTATGTTTGCACAAACACGTACTGACACTTTCCCAGCGATCATTCGGAAGAAAACGGTCTCACTGTTGCAACGCTTACGAAACAGTAATAACAGCATTCTTAGATCGATATCTGTAAGATATGACTGTCCCATACAGAATCACTGGATAGACATAGTCATAGGATCAAGATAATGTGTAACTACATACAGTAGTAACATAGTTTTAAGTCAATATCGTTTTTTTTATAGAATATGGGTGACAAACGAGCAGACAGTCCATCTGATGGTATGTGGTTGCTGTGGGCCATAGACATCTACATCTATATTCATTTGCGAATTAAAATGCAGATGAGGCCGTGAGGACTAAGATAGAATGCCTCTTTTCCAGTAAATAGAGTCTCCAGTTCTCTACACTTACGATACGAAACACAGCAGTATTAAGCTGCTATTTTACGCTGGTATTCTGTGATTGCGTGGTCCCCTGGTCGAACCGACCCATTAGTGCTACTATATTAATAACTATACTATTAATATAGCTGCAGCATGGCTCTACCACGTAAAAAACTACTAACAACGTTACGAGTACTAACAACGGTCTGAAATAAAATTATTATTATTATGTGGGGTATTTGTATAATTTTCTAATCTAATTGGGCTGTATAAATATGTAATTGAAATGTAAATGAAAATGATAAACATTTTTTTCTATAGGATAAGTGTGACAAACGAGCACACAGTCCACCTGATGGTAAGTGGTTGCTGCGGCCCATAGACATCTACATCTATCCTCTATTACAAATCAAAATGCAGATGCGTTGTCACCCGTGAGGACTAAGATGGAATGCCTCATTTCCAGTAAAAAGGGCCTCCGGCCACCTGCACTCACCAAGCGAAACGCATAGGTAAACCTCTACTTCACGCTGGTATTCTGTGAGGTCGTGTTACCACCCCGGTTCGAGCCGGCCCATCCGTGCGACAGCAAAAGCCGCCACGTGGCTCTACCACTGTTAGACATTACATAAATATCAATAAAATAAATACATAAAAATTATTATTATTATTATTAATTACATCACGTCGCTACAACACCCAGATTGTTAACCCCCTCATTTTTTAAAGTCGGTTAGCAAAAAATATTGGAACACAAGCCCCACCACAAGTAACCTACCTGGGCTTTGCGGTCGTTAAGAAAATTATTACACTAATTACCGCTAACAACTTGGTGAAGTAACGCGTAACTTGATTAATTAGACGCGGTAACAATGTAAAAACGTCACCGTCAGAGGTAGGTTAATTTATGCATGTAGGTCAGGTCCCTGCGGCTACGTGTGGATACATAATGCATCCCCCGGATTTACATGCGTTGTTTGAGGTCACGTTTGCTAGGCTATTTATAGGTGTAGAGCCACGCTGCAGCTATATTATGGTTGTAGCACGAATGGGCCGGCTCGATCATGGAAGGACCACGCTCTCACAGAATACCAGCGTAAAATAGCAAATCATTGCTGTTGTGTTTCGTATGGTAAGTGTAGAGAACTGGAGACCCTTTTCTCTGGAAACGAGGCATTCCATCTTAGTCCTTAGGGGTGACAAAGCATCTACATTTTGATTCTTAATCGAGGATGAATGGGGCGTTCAATGTATTCATGGTATCAGGGTAATTTGCCAATAATGTGGGTAATTAACAAAAACTATTAGCTGACGACACTATCTGAGCGTATAAATATGAAATTCCGTCTCGATAACTTCATTATTTGTTATGTAACCTTTAGTCATAGACGACGGGAATGACTGACTCGACAAATTTGAAAATCGAACACCGTGCGGTGATTAATTTCCTCGCTAAGGAAGGAAAAACTCAAAAAAACATCCATGATGAAATGGTGGCCGTTTACCTAGAGTCTGTTCCTTCAATGTCAACCGTACAGCAGTCTTCAAGTAAATTCAAAAGAGGCAGGGAAAGCATCGAAGATAGCCTCCACCTGGGTAAGCCAATCAAGGCTACAGAATAAAATGTAAAAATTATTGAAATACTTGTATTAGAATATGCACGACTAAGAATTAATATGTTAGCAAAAATGACTAATCTATCCATTGGTACCATACACACTATGTTGCATGATTGTATCAACCTCACAAAAGTCAGTGCTAGATGGGTGCCGCAAATGCTCACTGCGCTTCAAAAGAAGGCAGGCAGGTGGTGACGACAAAACAAGTGTTTTCAATATGATAACTACAGGAGGTGGAACGTGGGTTCACCGCTCGCTATGACGTTGAGAGTAAACAGGAGTCTATGCAATGGCATAGAAAGGGATCACCCCCCCCCCACTCTATCGGCCGGTAAAATCGTGACTATAGTGTTTTGGAATTCCAAAGAAATACTATTGATCAAGTAGACAAAAAAGGT